AAATTTATATTTGTCATCAATGTGAATATTTTGTTATTTTATCCAATGCAATAAACGTTGGTAATTGTCAATAGTAGTATCATTTCTGCAATCGTAAAAATAGTAATGGACGACGATGACTCCGATTCAAAAGGATCTGATACTTTGCACAGTACATCGATAAAAGTGTCAGAAACAAAGAAACGAAAACGAAATTCAACGCTATCAGAAAAAAAGAAAAATAATAGGAGTTCGAAGCCCTCTAAAACAAAGAAAAACAATGGCAATTCGAAACCTGCAAAGAGAAAGAAAAGGAATAGGAATTCAAAACCCTCGAAAAAGAAGAAAAATAATAGCAGTATTAAACTATCAAAAAAAACTAAGAAGAATAAATATACAAAACCATCGGCACAAATCCGTCATGCATGTAAATTTGAAAAATTGCTCAAGAAAAAAATAGCATTTACAACTCGATCAGATTTGTGGGATTTCAATTCACCGATGGAAGAAGACCTAGAATGTTCGGAAATACATGATATTTTAAAACAAAGGTTATTGTTTCAGTAATTTACTTTTTTTGTAATTAAATCAAAAAGTATTTATTAGATATGTTTCAACCATTCTTCAACGGTGGTTTCCATGTATTTGTTGTATGTCATTATATCCTGAGAGTCAATTAAAAAATGCTGCTAAAAAACATGAATTATATCACGATGTAGTTGAAGGACAACTCTTATGCAGAAAATGTATTGAATTTATACCATCAAATAATTATCCTTATTGTCGTTTTGCACGTTATAAAAATAAATTTGAAGTTGCTTTGGTACCAGAAGATCTAATATTGGGTTTTATAGAACAACCAGCAATTACATTAAATCACATTTATATGAGTATTATTTTAATTCGTGGTCGTCAAGCTGCTTTAAAGGGCCAGGTAGTGCATTTTCATGTTGATACAAATATAATTGTTGATGATTTATTACCATTTCCACGATGCTATGAATTCTTGGCCGTCGTACAGGAAAAGCCACTTAAAAATAATGAGATTCGTACTACTGTTAGTTACTCATTTAGTCCAGTGCAAGTGTTGAAAGCTCTAATTTATTTAAAACAACATAATCATCTATATTCAGACAAGAAATTGATGACAATAGAAGAAATTCAACAAAGTTTCAAATGTCGTGAAGAATATATTATACCAATTCGCATTATCGATAGCTATGCCTATAACAATGCTACTACGATAGCACCAGTTATTAATTCATCAGAAACTTTATTTGGACCTAAGTATGAACTTATATAAAATGAAATGTTTTTCAGTAAATGTTTTAGACGAGTAATTCCATGTGTTGAAAATCCAATATGGCAAATTGAATCTTATTTAGAAGAAAAGTGTTATCCATGGCTATATCCACACGGAAAAGGAGGTGAAGCTGATCCAGAACGACCTTTACACGTGAATCTACGAGACTACTATAAACAACGATTGAAATCTATTGACAATCGATGGCAAAAGGATCCGACATGGATTTTTCGAGCACTTAATTTATTACAAAGAGAAGATTTGTGTAAATCAGTCAATTACCATGTGAAAAAAAGATATCAAGATGGAAAAATGTGTTACCTAATCTATCCAGGTAAAATGAGATCTCATCATAGAATAAAAAAAATGTAGCAATATTAAGACGTATTTCTATCTTATGAAAAAATATTAATCTTTTTTTATTCTAATGCATTAGATATAGGCATGGTCATTCGTGGTTCTTCAGCATTTTGGGATAAAGCAAGACGTCATCTTAGATCCATGTATGCAACATTGGGAAAGCCTTTTATCTTCCTATCAATAAATTTACAAGATGACGTGGAATTTTTAACCAATATTAATCCCGAAAAATTTGGTTCGACATCTAATCCCAATTGGGAAGCAATTGACTCTTTATCTAATGATGAATATTTGATGTTAATGAATGAAAATGCAGGACTAGTTGCTAGAATGTGTAAACGTCGAGTGGCAGCTTTTGAAGAATATATCAATGACAAAAACCATCCATTCCTTATTGATTATGTTGTTTCTCATTATTTTTTGAAAATCGAATTTCAACGAGATGGATTACCTCACGTACATACTTTACTATGGGTTGAAAATCCTCCTTCTACAGATACAAGTGAAGGACGACAAAAAATAATTGATTTTATTGACAAATTTCTTACTACTGAATTACCTGATCAAAATGCTCAACCAGATCTGTATAAATTAGTCAAAAAATTTCAATGGCATATACACACATTCACCTGTACTAAAGGTAACAAAAATTATCTATTTGTTGTTTTTAAACAATGCTTCTATTCTATAAGATGAACCAATCGTACGTATTCGAAGAGGAAAAAAAGAATTAGCACCTGAACAGAAAGGTCAAACAGAAGAAAACTCAGATCATATGTGTAGTATAAATCGAGATAATGAAGATGAAATATATGAAAAAGTAGATCCAGACAATGATCTTGATTTAATTCAAACAAAGGTTGAAAGACGAGATTTTTTTGAAAGAGCAAGATGCCGTTTTGGCAAACCTGATCCACTTGCTGGAAACACGCATTTTCGTACGCATAAAGAAGCTAGAATATTAACACGTGGTGATCGTGATATTATTATGAAAAGAACAACAGAAGAAGTAATCTTTTCCTACTTATATAGTTACTAATATCTAGTTGAATTCGTATATTATTAGTCACGTCGCATTGTTCCATATAATATTAATTTACTTAAAACATTCAAATGTAATCATGATATGCAAATTATAACTGATCCTTGGGCAGCAGCTGAGTACCTTTTTTCATATATTAGTAAAGACGCTCGTATGGAAAAGGATCTCGTACAAAAATTAGCTGGATGTGCATGTTCAACTCTTGAAGAAGCGAGAAAAGTTCTACTAAAAGCTGGCAATGCTGTGTTATCACATAGACAGATCGGAAAAATTGAAGCTGCTTGGTTAATTTTAGGTAATTACGTTTTTTTTTAAATTTTTTAATAATTTATAAAATAAAAAGGTATTCCATTGTATCGGTGTTCAATGGCCACAGTTCACTTATACATATCTTTACCCTGTCATGAAGACCGTATATTAAAAAACTTAAATGTAAATATGGAATCAATTACTGAAGATGATTTTGTTACAACAATAATTCATCGATATTCACAACGGCCTTCAATACCAGAAGTCATTAATGATCTTACTTTATTTGAGTTTGCAGTATGGTTTGCAACTGATTATACTGATTCGACAAGTGAAGACGTTGAAAACAATACACTAATACCTAATCCATTATGGCGAACCAACTATGATGAACCACCATTATTGAAAAATTCAAGACGACTTCCACGTATTATACTAACATCTGGTCAAAAAATGCGTCAACATGAAAATCCTAAATGCGTCACATTCACTTGTCTTCATGATGACACTGCACAGTCTATGTATACTCTATTGTGTTTAAATATTCCTTTTCGAGATTCAGTGGTTGAATTTTTAGGTGGTCAACAAGGTTTGAAATTTTCTTTTTGGTCTAAAGCTTATCTTTATAATTTTTCTCTTAGAACCAGATATATATGATCTACATCAAGTACTTCTACAACACAAAATACAAATTTCTACCCGTATTTTAACATTACCTCAAACGTATCGTATTCAACTAAAAAATTTATTGGACCATTTAATAAATATTGATGAACAAAACTTTAAAATTAATCATCGAGAATCTTATATATTTACAAATCCAATAGAAAATGAGGATAATACAATTTCTAAATCATCAACAGATAATAATCTTATACAATCATTAATAACTACTGACGATAACTCATTTACAAATATCGACACTAATATATCTATATCGTCTCAAGCATTAGCAGATTTGAAAAATACAGCCAATCATCAACAGAAATATCTTCTTGATTTTGTTCAAACTTATTTAGATCATTTGTTGATGTACTCTAGACGACCGACGCATGTAAAAAAGCCGAAACCATTTCACGTTGTTGTTAATGGTCTAGCAGGATCTGGTAAATCTTATGTTATTTCTATAATCGAAAAAATGCTTCATGAATATTGCATTACTGAATCTGCTGGAGTTTCACATCCTCGTAAAAATTTTGGTTTACTTAAAATGGCTCATAGAGGAAAAGCAGCGTTGAAACTTCATGGTTCTACTATACATTCTGCTCTTGAAATTGTAAATATACGTGCTTGTTGTTGTTACATGGTAGAATATATTTTTTCTTTTAGTGTCCAGATGGTAGTTCATCACCAAACAAATTAAATTCTTTTAAATTTTATACACTAAGAAAACGATTTGATGGATTATTATTGATTATTATTGACGAAATTTCACTTGTTTCACATGCATTATTTCAAAAAATAAACAAGCGTCTAAATGAAATATTTCGTACACTTGATAAATGTGATATTTACTTTGGTGGTCTTCCTGTTATCGTGTTCGGTGATATGGCTCAGATTGAACCCGTCGCAGCTAAACAAGTATTTTATCGTCCATTAGGTGAACTATTTTCTCTGTAGCATGACTTATTCAGATCTATAAATTTTGACATTAATATGAGACAAGGAGATGACCGGCTCTTCTTTGATTGTCTGTGTCGAATGCGAATGGGTATCCTTTATTTTATATTAATATTCTAAATAGAGATAACATATAATATAGGTTGTTTGGACGAAGAGACCGAATCTCTAATTAAATCAAGAAGTATACGTCAACGAGACAATCCTGAAAACTATCAAGAGAGATTGAAAGAATTAAATTCACCAGATTTTGAAGATGCTGTTTATGCGTATGGAGTTCGAAAATTGACAAATTTAAGAAATATAGAAAAGTTAAAAAAGCATGCATCTCATTCGAAAAATCCTATCTTTATGATTAATGCTGTGGATGTAAGTTTACTTTTTAGTGTTATATTAATCTAAAATAGGAACATATTCATTACATAGAAAGTAGCAATGATTACTACATCTTTCTTCAACTCTAGTAAAACAAGTCATAGAGCATGTAAAATTAATCTTAAACCATCACCTGATGAAAATAAATGCGGCTCATTGTACCAACGATTACCTATTTGTGTTGGTGCACGTGTTATTATTAGACGAAATATCGATCAAGATAACTCTGTTATCAATGGAACTGATGCCATAGTAAAAAAGATAGTTTGGGAAGATTCTACAGATTTTCTTTTGCCACCAGCAACATCCGAAGACTTATTTCCTGGATTATCAAATGTTATCAACACAAAACTACCGAAATATGTAGAGCTCGGTAAAACTATCAAAGTTCAGGAAATGACAGATCTTAATTATAATTCAATATTTAGAATTATTCAATGGCCAAACATATAAATTGGAACCTCAGGAAAGTCGATTTAATGATATGAACAATATCAGCATGACTCGTTTGCAATTGCCACTTGCTCTTGGATATGCCATAACTATACACAGAACTCAATGTATGACATATTCAAAATTAGTTATTGATCTTGCTGGTAAATATTGGAAACCTGGTATGTTTTATACAGTCCTTAGCAGAACCCGCCATATTACAGACATTATTATACTAGCATACGATCGAAAATCTTTTAAAGTATATAATTTTAACTAAAATTATTTGAATATAATATACATACACATTTAGATTTCGACCGAGGGTTCAAAAGGAAATCGAACGTTTACAGAGAATTGAAAGAGAGCATCCTATTGAATTCGATGATTATTTAGACGAAACAGTTAGTAAATTGCATATTTAAGGTGAAAACTATAATTTATCCTTTCATATTCAGAATAGTGTTCCTGATTCAAACGTTAGTTATACATCTGGTGTCAATAATACAGAAAAAAAGAATAAAAAGTCACGAAATGGATCGAAACACACTAATAAACGTTTGAAAGTTATAAACAATATCAATGTTATTGATGATAACAATATTGGTGATGATATCATTACACCTGAGGAAGTAATAATTTGTGAAAGACAGCGACGTTTGTTTTGTGGTCGTCATGCTCTTCGAGGTCTTGTACAAGATAGACAAATATTTCATGATACATATTTAATTAGTTTAGCAGAAGAACTTGCAACAGAAAAACTTGCACTTCGTCCAACTACAACTACAGTTAGACGACATTATTTCAACTATATCACCGGTTATTATCACATTCAAGTTATTCAAAAAGCTCTTCAACAACAATATAATATTGAACTTTTACAATTAAACGAAAAAGATGAAATGTCACACTTCCATCGTGATCTGATTAGAAATCATATTCATGATGTGCAAGCCTTGTTCATCCATCACGACGATCATTACTTCTGTGTTCGGCGATTCGATAATACCCTTGATTATTTCTTTATTATTGATTCTTTAACGCCTCACATACATAAAACAATACCACGTCATCGTATCAATGATTATATTAAGTATTTACATGAATCTGATAGCTCAATATATGTGCCTGTAGGGGGTGATATGTTAAAAAAAGAAACTATTTCAAATGAATCATTATTTTCGTTCATACATCCATTGCCAACATGTGTGGCAGATGAGCTTGTTTTAACTGTCAATGAGAATACAAATTTTATTTTTTAATTAAGAATATTTCTATATATGTAAAATTGTTGCTAATAAACATAAAAGATAGTAGTATTCTAATCTTCTACGAAGTCAATACAAAATTAAATAAACATTTAAGCTTAGCATATGAAGAATATGTTCTTATTTTACATACGTAATTAGATTTTATTCTATTATTATATAAATATTTTCACGATAAACATTCATGAAACATTGATTTTTTTTCATTTAACTACGCACATTTATCGCTTCATTTGTTATTAATTCACAGAAACAATATTTAAATGACGATACATGTAATCGTCAATTTTCTTATGATACTAATATTTCATCAAATTTCACATAAAGTATGTATTTAAATGTTCGAAAATGTTATTATGATAATTGCTTACATGCATTTTTTTATATATACAACAATCGGATACATTTGGATGAAAATAGATTTATTACACAAATTTATTATCTGAATTTGTTGTTGAATGAATCTGTATCCAAAAGTTATCGAAGTATTGTAATCAAATCTTAGCTCCAATAATAAATCCGTTGATGCATTCATACAAATTTCTTCATTTAAAACATCGGTAATATAAGGATATGATTTGGTAATAAGCGTTAATAATGATATGATTACTATTTTAGAAACCAAACAATTATAGTATTTAATATTAATCATTATAATTATAATTTCCAGTAAATAACTTGTTGACATATTGCACTATATTCTAATACAATGACATATATAATTGAGTAAATTTTGTTTGATATACAATAATACTCGTAACCTGGTCTTGATTCATGTTGTTCTTAGTTTACATACATTTGAATCATCTCATATGTCTAAATGCGTCATGTTATAACTAAACAATTAAGCTTCAGTTTAACAATACCAAGTTATCAATTTTTACAATCGTGTCGAAAAAATATATCGAGAATTTTTATTTCTTTTATAACTTTAAAACGATTGATACGATCTGCCTGCATTTAATAATAATCATATTTCGAATATAATTAAACGACTATTAATCTTCATGTATGGCCAATATCACCAACTTTGATTTGATCGAAATAAGATACACAGCAAGTATGTTCTTCTAATACAGTTCCATTCCCTATCACAAGTAACTTTTTTCAAATTTCTGTATATTTCTAAAAATCTCATCCTTCGAGAATCAACACTAGCCGAAGTCAAATTTTACAAACTTGAAGTTTCACATACTATAATCAATCAATCATGTTTTTTTATATATTTTCCATCTATTCTACATGAACACAAATAAGTAGTATTCATAATTCTGTATGTATTTTTTTCTTGAATTACTACAGAAATATTTACTATTTTATTCAGATATTTCATTATTGAATTCTATGATGTGTACATCATACAAATTTTGACAAAATTATCATTATGTATATATTTTTTTTTGGTCCTTCATTAAAAAAAAATCATCATCTTCATCATTACTTTTTTCTAATGGCATTCATTTCGATTACGTGAAGATGCGTTTACTTTAAAATGAAATGAAATTCGTTTTTTGGTTTTGTCAAGTGGTTGTTTTGTCATAATAACAAATGGTCTATTTAATCAGAAATCTCTAATAAAACAATGAAATTTTACCAATTTTTACATTTAACAAATATGTATTATACAATTTAACTATTTTCAATACATTTTAAATTATAAATACGGATCTAGTATAAATTCATTTATTATATTTAAGATTTTATCAATTTAGAAATGTTCTAATTTTTGTTTTCGAACATATCTTCAATACGCAATGCGTGTTTTTCTTTTCACCATTACTCTGACAATGATAATAAAGTTTGCCTCTGAATTGAATTCTGAAATTACTCAACAAAATTTTACGAATTTATCATTACAATACTTTGAATTTTTTTCATTAAATATTGAAGATTAATCCAAATAATCATGAAGAGATTTCGAAATTATATTTAAACACGACACATAAACCATCGACAACTGGCACATGTATGATTGTAAATATTTCATAGATAGACATTTTTACTGACTACGAACTAATGAAACATTCTCACTGTAAATTTTGTCGCATGACAATTACAAAACAGTTTTCATTATTATCAGTTCATCTATAAATAAGACTTAAATAACAATATTAACTATTTTGTTTTTTTATCGTTTAAAACTACTTATTAATTATTCAAAGTAATATTTTTATAACAATACCTTTTTTTTATCAGAGTGGTCTAACAAAAATACATAAGGTCACCTTCATTAATCTAAACACGTAAAAAAATTACAACCTGGTTAAATTTACTTTTAATATAAATGAATTCATGTATCATTCAAAGAATAAGATTTATACTTATTTATAATTTTCAAATTACATAATCATAAATTCATTTTCATAGCATAAACATTTGTTTATAATATTATTCAACATATCAGTAGCTTAATTTTACATATTCTAGTTTCCTTGTAACTCTCCTTGATCTTACAATTTGATCGAATATTGTTCGCTGTACAAACGTCGTATTTTTCGCTCTGTAATTACAATTCAGACTAGAAGTAAAATGATTGATGTATACCTGTGGATTGCATCGAAACTTTTTATATGACTTTTAGTTTATTTGTTCAACTCTGTAAGGACGCGAGCTGCGTTGCTACGGTCTGTAATGGAGTTGTCTGTAATGTTCTCCTTCTTCGTTGCTATGGTCTGTAATGGGGGGGGGGGGGGGGGGG